TGTCAAACCAGATTCCATCATGTGCAGGTGAGATATAAACATTTAAGTTGTCATGGCGACACTGAATTTTGCTGTGCTGCCACAGACATGCCGTTTGACAAAAACTCACAGTTTACTCCATGAGTCATCATCAACTTGTTTAGGCTTATGCCACTACATTTGAGGTTAATATGATCAACGGGCAAACAATAGGACGTCAAAGTGTAAAACATGGGATTTTAAATTGGACCGCTGAATTAGTGCGGAAGTAAAGTCAAGTTTCTTTCACCTCAGACAGCTTGCAAAGGTGAAGCCTTTTCTCTCACACCAGCACTTTGAAACGGCATTTCATGCCTTCATTACCTCTTGGCTGGATTACTGCAATGCACTTTATTTTGGCGTTAGCCAGTCCTCCCTTGCACATCTCCAGTTAGTCCAGAATGCTACCGCCCGTCTGCTAACTGGAGTATGAAAGAGAGAGCACATCACACCCACCCTGGCCTCCCTCCACTGGCTGCCTGTGCACTTTAGGGTTCATTTTAAGATTCTTTTGTTTTTAAATCTTTGAATGGCCTCTCCCCGCCCCACCTCTCTGAGCTTCATCACCCCTACGCCCCTGCATGGTACCGGTCAGCGGCTCAGCTGCTCATTGAGGTACTGAGGTCCAAGTGAACGCTCAGAGGGGACCGAGTGTTCTCTGGTGCTGCTCCTAAAATGTGGAATGGCCTACCTTGGCACATCAGGCAGGCCTCCTCACTGTCTGCTTTTAAAGCCAATCTTAAAACCCAGTTTTATTCACTGGCTTTTAACCCAGCATGAGACCTCACTCTGTTTTAGTTGTTTTTATTTGTTTTATGCTGTTTTTATTGTTGGTTTGTTTTGTTGTTTTTATGACCCCCCCCCCATGTACAGCACTTTGTTTCAGCTGTGGCTGTTCTAAAGCGCTCTATAAATAAAGTTGATTTGATTTGACAAGTCATTTCCTGTTGCCAGCAGGTGGCACTATGGCTGTGAATGGATATTGGCTCATGGATGTGATCGGGACAGGACACCGATCATGATCATGTAAAGTCTGAGGCAGACTGGAGCATGTACAGGGTAGTTGGACAGCACTTCCTTTTTGATGGCAAATCATTAAAAGTCAGGGGGCCGCACTGGCCACTTCCTTTGACTTTGGCCGAAGATTTTGATAACCTTTCATCATTAGAGTCTTTTGTATGTGCAGACCAAATTGTAGGTGTCTTGGATTTATCCCCTATGAGGTGTTTGCTCTTGAAAATGATGAAAAATAAGCAAAAATCACAAAAAAAATCAAAATGGCAGACTTCCTGTTGGATTTCGGGTATGGCGCCCACTGACTTTTTTGTGTGCCCTAATGTGCTACATATGCCTACTACATTGTGTAGATGTAGGTGAAATGTGCTGCCCGTAGTAGCTGTTACAAATTTTGTAGAGGCGCTATGGAGCCATCTCGAGACACACATTCACAAGTCCTATAAAATATAATTTTTTTCACTAGCTCTGATGTGTCTGCAAATTTTTGTGACCATATTTAGGCCCTCAAAAATGCGATTGTTCTGAGCGAAGAATAATAATTCCTTGGATTCCAATAGGGTCCTACGCACTGTCAGTGCTCGGGCCCTAATTTACCAATTTGCCAGCATGGATCAGAATCCCACACCAAGTCACACTATGTACTTTTTTTTTCTCATCAGACAGGAGCACTGTTCAGTTTGTTGCCTCCAGCAGTTTAGGAGTCTTTCCTCTGAGTTTATCAAATACCTGCAGCATCAAACAGCAGCAAAATCCATATAAAAGTCTCCAAAAAGAGACAGTTGTGCGCATTAGTGCATGGATTCATAATAATAATTTTAAAAAAGGCAACTAAAAACATGAATACTGTATAAACAAGTTTTTTTTTTTTTTCAAACTTTGACATCCTGCTGCAAAAGGTTCTGTTCAAGGCTGGAATTTCTCATGTGATTGCACATGTTGTTGGGATCTTTAAGTTCTGGTTTCCCCTCAGCCCTCTGATAGATACAGTGTTTGTGTGCTGGTGAATCTCCCACATGACCCAAATCCACACGGCTGCCCCGATGCTAATATCATTTCTTCCCATTGTAACCAGATGTGAGGGGAACATGGGAAGCATTTGTGCTAAACCTTCAAGTGAAACAGCAGAATTTCCCCCCCCCCCCGACCTGTATTTTATACCTCTGCAGATGGCCTTTATCTGAGCCATCTGTGGGAGCTTTTTAGGCAGCGACAACACCAAACTGTGGTTACGTATCTTTCATGAAAACCGCGTTTACCCCAATTTCTGTGCGAGGTTTTTCATGTCACTGTTTGAAAGGTCACATGGTGTCTAATGTGCTGAGTAGGTTTCATAACCAACCCAGTCAGTGACACCCATTAAAAGCCTGTTGTATAATTTCTGTGTCATGTTCAGAATAAGGTTTTAGGGCCATTTAAGTCGGTTGCAGTTAAAGATGGACGTCCAGGCGGCGTGAACCGTATGGTAATCTTATTTAACAAACCATATCGATCGCCTCTCTCATCAGATCGTACTGCTCATCCCCCTAATCCACATCCACATCTGCATTTCCTAAGTTTTACATCCAACTTTCGTTCTCTCTGGGTGTGTGTTGGTGTAATCTAAGTTACCAGCTCTGACTCTGCGGTTTTGATCTGAGAGCTTCGCTTTACTTCTGTAATCCTGCCAACCGCCCATCTCCATCTCCATCTCCATCCCTCCCTGCATCCCTCCATCCAGGGGATTTGACTGCCATTAAGAGATGGCTTTTCGGTGTGTGTGCTGCATCATAAACACACACGAGGTGAAGCTGGGAGGATGCAGCGTAAAAAGACAACTGCAGCCTGAGAACCAGAAGCAACCAGAAGCATCCAGGAAGCTCGGTCAGTTATGCCGTCGGAGGTCTTCTGTGTGGACTGATATGGGAGGGCAGGATGGACACATGCATGAGTATTTGGATTTTGACTTTTAACACACATGGATGCAACTGTCTGGAAAGATCTACAGGTATGTCACTTCCTTGAGTGTACCCAGGTTGTGGTGTGTATACATACCGCATACTTCCTCATTTTTACCTGTTAAGGCAGCTAAAACTGTCTCCAGAAAACTAGATCACCCTCAGATTTCCAGTCTGTCACATATTTATAATTCAGTTCATGATTAAGTGCTGCTGTGCTCTTTTTTTTTTTTTTTTTTTTTTTACCGTTTCAGACCTCCGTTAATCCTGGCATGTCCCAGATGAGAGACTACAGTAATGACTGTCATCACTTTCACTGGTCAGTTTCATTCCTTTAAATCTCTGCTTTGTGTATATCGGCCAACTTCCCTCACACTGTTGCTCCCTCACGTAAAGACTTTAAGGTGTTTCAAGGCTCTGCTTAAGGTCTTTCTTCTACAACTGATTGATCAGGCTGAAAGGCTGAAGTTGAGATGATGTGAACTGGATCGAGGGTGAAATCCTGGCCTCAGACAATACCTATTGTTGTGGGCTAATCTCTGATCTAAGCTGTTCTGACTTAATCACATCATCGTTTCACCAGCAGCTGCACAAGAGGCAGTTTCAGTTCGTGTTGTTGGGCTACTGCAAAAATCTAAGGACTAAACACTGAGAAACTGATCTGCATATTTTTTTGTAATTTAGTAACATATTCTGTAGTTGTAGCAGGAGGAGGTCGAATTTTATAGTAGAATTTGTGCAAAATCACTTTGACCTACATTGGCAGGTGGGAATAGTTGAAGAGAAACCAATCAAAGTCCACAAGTGGTGCTAAGCTGCTGCAAAAATCTAAGCAGTAAACACACAAACAGATCTTCATGTTTTGTGTTTATTAAATTTATTGATATGTTTTGTAGGTTTTTTGCAGACTGAGGTTATGGGCCAAATTACATTGACCCACATAACCGGCAGGGAAACATTCAACCAAAAATAGTTTCATGAATAATATAAAAACATATCTGATGTCAAAGAAAAAAAATAAAAATCATATTGATTTACTGATTAATTAATTGGTTGTCAACTAGTAATTTACTAGTCAGCTATTTTGATAATTGGCTAATAAGTTTAAGTATTTTCTTTAGAAGAAAAAAGTCAAAATTCTCTTATTGTAGTTTTTTAAATGTGAATATTTTTGGGTTTCTTTCCTCCTCTGTGACAGAAAAGTGAATATCTTTGTTTTATGTACAAAACAAGACGTGTTAACTTGGTCTTTGAGAAACACTGATGGACATCTTTCACATTTTCTTACATTTTATAGTCTGCACAACTAATCAGTAAATCAAGAAAATAACTGATGGTTTTATTGACAGTAAAAATTCTGGTTCGCTGTAGATCTAATATAAACAAACAGCACTTTGTTTTTAAGAAGACAAAGATGACTTCTTGTCCATATTGGTTTAAAAGTTTAAAATAAAAGTGTGTTATTGATCTTGGAAGTAGCTTTGGAGGAAAGCGCTGGACTGTATCACACGATCGTCCTCCGCAGAATAACAAGACTAAAGTCAAACTTAAACAGAGAGCTAAATGCTAACATCAGCATTTTAACATACTGACGATCACAATGCTAACATGCCAACATTTAACTTACCATGTGAGATACCTAAAAACTCCTTCCAGTGAAAGTCCAATTATTTTAACCTTGTTAATATTTTTAGATACTGGAAAACACATCATGAGTAAAACAGGAAAATTCATACCAATACTGAGCATTTCTGAAACTATATTTACTGATCACAGTCTCAGAAACACAGATTTCCAGGGTCTCATACATAACCTAAAAACGAAATTCTGACAACTTGTGGGATGAAGCTTTCTGCATCAATATTCTTCATCAGAATCATTTTCATGCTCGAACATGTACAGCTGATTTACTCCAGCCTGCTGTAGTGTAACAGATGTAATGTGGAGATTTTCAGATGCACTGTGTAATTTGAGTATTTGATTCCTGCAAAATATTGAAAGTCGCTCCCACCTGAGAGATGAGCTTTCAGTAAAGACATCTTCCTTTATCTGTCCAGTCTCTGTGCTGTGCCTGCTGCCTCAGGCAGTTCTGGCCCGGTGGGCCTGTGTTCGGGCCTGTCCGGCGTCCTGCTCCTGCACCCAGGAGAAGAGCTGCAGTGTCCTGTGCGACCGATCCGGCCTGGCTGAGCTGCCCAAAGAGTTTCCCTGCGAGGCCTCGGCCATCAACCTGGACAAGAACCGACTCAAGTTCCTGTCAGAGAGGGCCTTTGGTACGCTGCCGTCCCTCAAGTCTCTGTCTCTGGACCACAACAACATCTCCTTCATCACCCCCGGAGCCTTCAAGGTCGGCTGTTCAAGGTTTCAGATATAGTTAATAACATTTTCAGGAATGTATACTGTAAAAAGAACTGTGTCTCAAATCATCAGATTTTTACAACAGTTTCTGCTTAATCATCTCTGATTTGCCTGAAATTGTTATAGTATTAAACATGGATACACATAGGGATGTTTGTCAAATTCTAGCCTAATATATAATACTATAATTTTAAAAAATGAAGCTGTTTAAAGAACAATATCTCAAAAAGCTAAAAGCTAAAAGTTTCTGAATCAATGGCATGACAAAAAATAACTTTCATCTTTAAAAGTGGCTGAAATATTGTCATCTAAACACAGCCTCAAATTTCCATGTGCGGGTTTTTGTTTTCAGAGTGTGCCATGCGCTACAACACCATACCTGTTATCCAAAGCTTTCGGAAAAACACACTTGCTACAGAAAGTACAACCCTGCAAACCTCCGCTCTCTCGCAAAAGCCTCCACTACTGATTTTCCTTCAACCTTGGCCTATGGAATTGTCAGTCTGCTGTAAACAAAACAGAATTAATCCAAACCCTGGTTAATGCTTCATATTCAGGTCCTAGCCCTGACTGAAACCTGGATCCGTCCTGAAAACACTGCCACACCCACTGCACTCTCTGCTGCCTCCACCTTCTCCCACACACCCCGCAGTGCTGGACGAGGAGGTGGTACAGGAGTCCTCACTTTCAAATATGGAAGTTCACTAAGCTCTCTCTGCCGAGCAACAACTCTTCATTTGAATACCATGCGATCAGTGTCACTGCACCGGTTAAGCTATATGTTGTTGTTGTATGTCGTCCTCCAGGGTGTCTGCTGGGAAACTTTGTAGTTGAACTGGACATGCTACATTCAGGATTATGACACATCACTTGTTGTTGTGGGAGATATGAATATCCACACAGACAAAGCCCAAGGAAGTGACTTTCTGTCACTTCTGGCATCTTTCGACCTGAAGCAGGTCTCTACCCCTCTCACACACAAACAAGCTTGACTTGATTTTCTGTCGAAGCTGCTCCACAACAAATCTGAGTGTCACTCCGCTTCATCTGTCAGACCATTATTTCATTCAATTCACTGTCTCCTTACTGGAACACTCTCCAGTTCCTCCACAAATGGTCTCCTTCCGCTGCAACCTTCGGCCCCTCACACTGACCCAGCTTTCTGACAAGGTCTTGGCTTCCATGCCTCCTCATAACAGATTCTCCTCACTCACGATTGACGAGGCCACAGACACTCTCTGTTCCTCACTAGCCTCCTCTCTGAGCAGTCTCTGCCCTCTATAGTCCAAACCTGCTCCTACCTCTCCCCCTTGCCCATGGCTCACTGATGACACCAGAAAGCAGAGGGCGGGGCTCAGAGCAGCAGAAAGAAAATGGCGTAAATCCAGAGGGTCCTCTGACCTCAGCGACTCTCAAGCTCTACTAGCATCATTCTCCTCCAGTTTAAAAACTGCTGAGACCAAGTACTATCAGAACAAGATCTGTGGCACAACAGATGCTGGAAAGATATTTTCTGCTTTTAACTCACTCCTCCGCCCTCCTCCTCCACTACCCTCCACTCTGCTCACTGTAGACGTGTTTGCCTCATTTTTTACGGTCTCTGCAATCAGTAACCAGTTCTCTGAGTCTGACTAATTCACTGTTCAGCCGCTAGCTCATAGGGCCGCATTCTCCTCGTTTGTCCCTCTGACTGAGGAGGAAGTCTCCAAGCTACTGCTGGACTCTCGTCCTACTACCTGTCCACTGGACCTGATACCATCCAACCTCTTACTAACCATTTCCTCAGCACTTAACCCTGTAATAACACATATCATCAACTCCTCATTTGCTACGGGTGTGTCCCCTGCAAAAAAAAACAAAAAAAAAACAACCACTGCAAAACCCTGATGTGAAATGCAAATGCCTTTCTCTTGGCAGTCTTCTGAAGACAGCTTTGGTTTACCAGCACTTTGTGAAACTAAATATTATCTAACAAACTGTCCTGCAGGGCCTCTCCAACCTGGTGGACCTGAAGATGGCGCACAACGAGTACATCAGCTACCTCCATACGCGAACGTTCACGGGGCTGAAGAAGTTGGTGCGTCTGGATTTATCAGACTGTAACCTCTTCAACATCCCCGACCGCATCTTTATCGAGCAGACGATGCTGAAGGAGCTGCTCTGCTTCCAGAACAACTTCAGGAGGATCCCGGGAGCCATCAGAGGCATGGAGAACCTGACCCACATCTACCTGGAGAGGAACAAGATCGAGGCGGTGGCCTACAACTCCCTGCTGGGCCTGGGCAGCCTCAGGTAGGTCACTGACTGCAAGGAGCTCAGGTAGTTTCATAAAGCTACTATCAGGGATTCATTTGCCAGCATTCTAACTGTGGATAAGACCCAAATGTATAAGTCGGGGTATTTTTGGGGGATTTAAGATGATTCTCGTAGTTACCTTAAATGAATTAGAATTAGTATTT